GTTTTGAGATAGCCCACGCTTTAGCATTCATCCTAAGCGGCCTTGCATGTTTTGATTAGGGCTCTTTCAAAGCAGGCGTATTCGGCAAACGTCGTCGGTGCAGTGCGAGGAGCGCCGTTCCAGTGTTCTGTACAAGTGTGTTGACCCCTGCGCATGCGTCTAATTTTTTTTTTCTTGCTCCACCTACAGTTAACTTGGGTTACCGTACTAAATGTAGTAAAGACAAGGAAGGAGTTAATTTCGTCCCATGCTCTCCACTTTTGTGTGACTGATTTACAGGAGCCGTGTTAAAGAATGCGTGGGTGAACAAACTTATTTTTATTAATCCACTATATGGTTCTTGTCAACGTCACCACAGGGCCACCCGTACAAGTGCTCAGGGTATTTCATGGAGTGGGCGTGCAGGTTCATCCCGGAATCCTCTCCCCCTTTCCCGACCCCCTCTTACTGAAGCCGTTTCGTTTAGAATGCAGTGCAAATACGAGATATGGGGCGGGTGATGGTGCGACCCCCTCCCGACTGAACCCTGTGCATACGGCTGTATGGGCCCATATTTAGTTTGCTTCTCATCGGGGATTCAGTGGGTTGCATCTTAGTTCGCATGCACGCCGGCAACCTAAAACCATTGTGTTTGCCCATTCAAAGACTACTGAAAAGTCAACAAAGCTGTTCCTGGAATCAGAGTTCGAAACGTGCCCCCCCTCATCCCCCTCTTTTTTTTCTATCATCGTTTCCCACGCGCTGATCTCGTTACCCGTGCAAGTTTTTGAACGACAATAAATACCTTTTGAAAGGCCACCTATTTGAGTCTGTATAGATAGAGCTAAGTCTTAAGTGCTGCGCATTTCCATCCACTAATGGCCTGGCAAAACTTGAGAAACACTGGAAGCTGCAGGAAAAATTCGGCAGATCCCACGTACCTGGGAATCAACCTTATGCGAAGCACGCGGAGGGAAGGTGACCGCGTTGCATTTTTTTATTATTGAGCGACACGTCATGAAATGACGCTAAATATATGTACAAATGCTGCACGCAGAGACGTATGTTGAAGAGTTGCAGATGTTAATATAACCAGTTTTCCACTTGCACAACGATGTCAGCTGGAAATGTGTTTTAGCAACACCAGAAGCTGATATGAAGCGCTGATGCTCGCGAAGATGCTGGCCCTTGGCACTGCTACTCAAATCAATTTCGGTGCATGACATCTCACCACAATTGACGTTAAGCCGACGTGACGGCTGTATGAAAGGAGTACATATGTAATGTTTGTAAAATTGGGTAGCCAGCACTGCAACCACTATTGACGTTTCACGAAGATTAGCGCCTATTTGAAAAGTATTGTTCCGAGACCTGGCGTAGATCTGTGATAGAATGCTTCACTGCCACGCAGAATGCTTGGGTCAGATTCCTGCTGGGACCCTGGAACTTATGTGCATTCGTCGGGTGGCCAACGGGGCCCGTGTCAGGGTTTTCTTAACACTGACATTTATTCTATGTCTTCGTTGGGTCGACGCTACCGATGTCGGGTATTGCTTAACGCTGACGCGTTAAAATTGTCCACGTGTGTTCTCGTCGTTCCTGGGTGTTCTCGTCGTTCCTAAGTGTCAATCACCTGTAACACACACCCGCTTACCAGTGGCACAAACCCGCCAGTGAGCATGTGCCACTGTCTGGCGGGAAGTGTTTGACGACGTACGCGACGAGATTGTGACATTCTTGACCAACGCGTCTTTTTCGTCAAACCATCTTACCCTCCCAGGCTAATTTTGGTTCGCGCCAAGGGGGTGACCACGAAAGCACACAAACGTAAGTGGCTAGATAGATAGATAGATAGATAGATAGATAGATAGATAGATAGATAGATAGATAGATAGATAGATAGATAGATAGATAGATAGATTGATTGGTTTGCGCCAAGGGGGTGACCACGAAAGCACACAAACGTAAGTGGCTAGATAGATAGATAGATAGATAGATAGATAGATAGATAGATAGATAGATAGATAGATAGATAGATAGATAGATAGATAGATAGATAGATAGATACGCTCAAAGTCGCTGAAGTTCGCTAAGAAATGATTTTAAAAACAAACAAACAAAAAACCTATGCACCAAGAGGGATCATACACGCCAAGCGCGGACGCCCGCAGTAATAGTAGTAGTGCTTCCATCTAGCAGTATATGGTTGAAACATCTGCTCTTCAGAAACGGGCCTAGCGCCATCTATGGTAGGTTAGTAGAGTTAGATTTTTTGGGCTCCAGCTGTGCACCTCTTGTTGTTTGCTGTTGTTTTCCTCACAGCACATTTGTTTTTGTTTTTTTTTCGTAAAACCGCAACATAGACGTCTCCATCATGCCTTCCTACATATCATCCGCCCGATACGCCCTAGGCGCCGGCTATCGCTCATGGGGAACGCTAAATTCGTTTCTAATGTCCCAACACCCACCAATGCAATGGCCTCTACAGCGTCGCAATAAAAGTTTCCCGTTTCGCATATCCACAGGCGTTTCAGCAAGCGAATAAGGAAAGGTAAAAATAATTGCATGCCACGTACGGAGTGATGCAACGATCCTTAAAAAAAAAAAAAGAAATTGTGCAAGGAGGGGTATCAAAGACCTTAGCAAAAAAGTCATATAAAGAAAGAGAAAAGAGCTCAATTAAAAAAATGAAGAGTGGATTGCCAATACTGCGGCCTATTATGCATACATATAGCTCAGCGAACCAGATGTCGGTTTCTTGCAGGAGTCATTAACGTCATTAGCGGGCCGTTAAATCCCGCACGAAATTCGGCGCAGAATAACATAACGATGCGAGGAAAGATAGCGAACTCCAGTGCACCCTCTTTATCGCAGTTGGGGTGGGATGGCAAAGAAACGCTCAGTGTTTGGAATGTTGAAAAAAAAAAAAACAAGGCACAAGTAAGGTATGATTAGCGGAAGGGGCTTGTGGAGGGGGAAAAAAAGTTAACGTTGCCAGATGGCGGTGTTTGTGCAGTGGGGGTAAAAAAGGGGGGGAGGCGCTATGCGTAGCCAGAATAAGCGAACGAAGCGAAGCCAATCCAAGCACGGGAAGCGAGGGGTGCTTTCGCGAAAAAAGAACAAGATGGAACGAGAGAGGGAACTAAAATGAAAGAAGCTGGAGATAAACACAGAAGAGGAGGAGAAGGAAAGAAAGATGAATTGGTAGATAGATAGATGAAAGTTTGAACGACGGTGGTGGAAAGGGCTTTGCGAGAAGAGGCCGTGAGCGAAGCTGGTAGAAGTGGGAGAGAGCAGAAGTATATAAAAAAAGCGCCTATAAAAAAAAAAAGACGAGCGATGTGAAGACAAAACAAAAACGCTGTACAAAAGCAGCCGCTTTGCCATTGGCCGCAACCTCCTTTCCGCCGCGGTTGTAGGCGGAGCCAAAAATCTATTCGCTCCCACCCGCCGACGTGGCCCGCTTAGGGCGGCATGTGGGATCTCTTTAATTTGCAGCCCTGCACGTGATGGCGGGAGGAGGTTGTGCGCGACTGCTCCCTTTGTCTAGTTCTTCTCTCCTCCTTCTTCCTTTCAAGCTTATCTTCCCTTCTCTCTTCCTTCGTGTGACCCTACCTACTTCATCCGAGCTGCACGGGCGAACAGCCGGGTAGCCTGAGCGCGTTTCCACATAGGTCGCCTCCCCCCCCTCCATTACTTCCTCCCCCCTCTTTCCTACGTTGCTTGGCTCGCACGACGAATCGAACATCGCGCTGCTTGCTAGCTTATATTTTTTTACCCGCTCGAGTCAAGGAATGAACGAGAGTCGTCGTTGTCGGAGCTCTCTTGTATATTTCTGTTTTGCCTCACCCACGAAGTATGGCGAGAAACACGCCGAAGTGCCTTCGTCCCGCCCGCTAGGACCGTGAGGATGGCCGGTTGACTCAACTACAGACGGCAAGTCGACGACCAAGTTTCCCGAGTCGCGTGACCTCGTCGCTGCGGCAAGTACTACGATTATCCGCGAAACGCGAACGTAGTCGCAGTGTCAACTGGCATGGCGAGCGCACATTCGTTAGGAGTGCCGCGGGGCACCAGTTCGAAATTAAGGGATGGTGCTGCTGGCGACGAAGAGTAGCTAGGTTAGACAGGCCGTAACGCTGTCACCGCTGTGGGTCCCGGGCACAGTCGACGCTGTGGCGACGAGGAAGTGATTGGCTGGCTGTTGGTACGGCAATCGATGGCTTGCGGCCGCCAGTGCGGATTGGCGCGTAGCAACTGTTTTTCTCGCTCACATTTTGGTGTGGGCGATACAGCTAGTGCGCTGCAGTCTTTCGCCTGCTGTTGTTCTTAAAGCATGATTTAATTTACTTTTTTTTTCGTTGGCACATCGGTGCACTGAGAACAGTAAAAGGACGCCATTGCCATGTCGAGCATTTACATCCATGGCCAAGAGAAGGCTAGGGCCCGCATAAATATTGTCATGAGGAAAAAAGGCATTTCAGAATATATTTAGGCACCTTTGCTGTCTTCATCTTCGACAGCGCTTCATAGCAATATTAAGGTGTCATCAGACCATTTGTTTCATAGCATCAGTTAAAGAGTGTGCCTTGTTTTCAAGCTTCACTACGTGTATACATTAAACTTCTCAAATTATGCAATGCTTACTGACAAACGACTCTAGAACTGGCAAACATCAAATATTCATGCTTTGGTGCAATGAACGGCAACAACTCAGCCCAGCATTTCACTTCGACCTGTGTTGGACTGAGCCACAAGAAATTTATGGGTGCCTCTCACATATAAGCTTTACCATTGTCATTCAACATTTTCTGACATGTTTTTTTTTTACTGGCATAGAGATGCATAACGCAAACTGTGGATCACTTGCGAGATCTTCACTTTCTCGTGAAAGTTGTTTGTTTGTGAGGAAATGGTTGGGCAAAGAGTTCTTGTATTGCAGTACTTCTACACACAGCATCTTGTACTAGTCATGGAAACTAACATGCAGTCTTCTTTTTAAAACTTTTTACTGCACACAGATTTTATGAAGATGATGAATTTGTGAGGAGAAGGTGGGCCTGCTGCACTCAACATGGTTTCCACACAGACTGCGATGCCACCACCTGCGCCGCCACCTGCTGTGAGCTCACCTATGAACGTCCAGCAGGTAGGTCTCTGGCTGAACTAGAAATGCACACATGAACTGAGTCTATATGCCTAGGAAAAAATTATAGTAAATATTGTATATACTCCAAGTATATTTACTTCTTCACTTCATCTATTGACTTAGGAGCACATTCTTGCTTCATGCCCCAGCTACATTCATACCCAACTTCATAAACAAAGGATTTGTTTAATGTATAGCTATGAAAAAGACACTGCAAGTTGCAGAAACAAAGATTGTTGCTGGAGCCAACATTTCGCCATGAGCTTCGACGAAGCCTCATTTTTGCCGGAGCTCATGCGGTGGGTGCGCAACTAGGTAAAAAATTGGCTCCAGTAATCATCCTTGCTTGATGGCTTCTGATCTTCCCCAAACTGTCTTGTTTGGACTGCAGAGATGAATATTACATGAAAGATGAAGCATAAACCTACTAGAATGGGCCTTTTCCGTGTGGAATGGGCTCGGAAATTTTGACCATCTGGGATTCTTTAACGTGCACCCAAATCAGAGCACGCAGGCCTACAGCATTTTTGCCTCCATCGAAAATGCAGCCGCCACAGCTGGGATTTGATCCCGCGACCTGCGGGTCAGCAGCAACTTAGCTACTAGACCACAGCGGCGGGGCTAGAGCAAGTGTGTGTCGACAGCATGTTTTGCAGTGCTCTTGTGAAGTTGTTAAAAGTCGGACTCCTGGTCTCTTCCACAGCAGCAGCAACAACAAAACCAGCAGCCACAGCAGGTCGTAGTTAGCTCGCAGCAGACAATGGCATCACCGACTTCCGTGACTGTGACCCAAGTTCCGAACCAGGTCACCATGACCACAAGTGCCCACCTGCAGCCGCAGCAACCGCAGTCGCCCATCGGTGGCCCCATGCCCCCGCACTCGTCAACGTGCACTGTCATCCCCCAACAGGCCATTCAGAGCATGACCCAGTCGCAGTTGCAGCCTGTAAGTGGCTACTGTGCGCCACCGTATTGTGCACGAAGTCACTATCCTGTGAGTTAATGCAAAATATGTTTGGTTGATAACTATTGTTTCAAGCACCTAACATAACCTAACATTCAGTCATTGAGCAGCAAGACCTGTTGCCTGCTAGTTACATCACAGTCTTTACTGGATAGGGCGTTGTGCTGTTCAAATGGTTAGCTAGCTTACTTGCTAACAGGTCAAGATATCTGGCAATTTGTTCTCCCAGTAACATGCCATGTTTGGACAGGATGCTACAGAGAGAAAGTATGGTGTATCGAGAACATGCTTCCATTGCAGAGCCAGAATGATTTCTGAAGAAGCTTAATGGCAAGCCCTGCATACCAAAAGTGATGAATGGGAATGATCCAAATCGGCATAGCGACAGCTGCTATTATGCACAGTCTGTTTCACACTCGGGGGCAACCTTGGAGCGCATGGCATCGTGATGTGGCCAGCACTACAGTAACATGCTGGCAGCAGCATGCGCTGACGCTTGAGGAGTGTGGTGTTGGATTGTATCGGCGGTGTGCGCACTGGCTACATTTTGTCGGGCAGCCTGCTGATTTCATCGTTACTGCAGGAACTACTAGGCCAATATTCTGAAGTGAACGTTATGCGACGCCAATCTCTCAGCCTTCATTGGCAATAGCGGGATTCTGGAAACTAGTATTTTACAGCTTACTTTGTTCCCTCTTTCGAAACGTCGTGGTACTGAGTACATTCATGTATATTTCTTCTTTGTGTGTGCTGCGATGTGAAAAGCCAAAACCAGCATGTGCCCTGCGTGTTACTTATTTCAAGCTAAAAAAAAAAAAAACGAAGCACTTCACAGCTACTTTCATACAGTTATGCGGTTCAACATAGTAATACAAGTGGGAACGAATGCTGAAGGTCAAGGGAACGACCTGGGCGTCGTTCTTCTCGATGAAATTTCATTACATCAGGCAGCATTCGCTCGCCGGCACGGGAATGTACGCGCGAGGCTTCCAACTCATCATACCTCTAGCTGCAGGGATGACAGCACTCATTTTGGATGGCAGGGAGGCGTGCTGTGAATCTGGGAGCAATATAGACCCTGTTCCCGCAGTAACGAGGAAATTCGCGTGCTGCCCGACAGAGCGGCCAGCGAACGCCACCATAGCCAATGACACGGTTCAACACTTCCCCAAGCTTCTGTGCGTGTGCATGTGTGAGCAGCTGCCGACAGGCCACGCCGTGATGCCACGCTCTCTGAGATTTCCTTCCCCTAAGTGTGAAACAGACTGTACACGGACTAGTTCACTACAAGAAAAGTTGACTGGAGAGTCAAAAGATACTGTGATTGTGAAATACCAAAGTCACCTTTGTGGAACAACTTTCTCAAGCATCTATTTTATTTTACATGAGCATAAATATATCTCGGTTCACACAGTGTTATATTCTTTTTGTCGTACCTTTTATAGCCGGACTTCTTTATTTCTTATTAATCATCTATGACATTTAACAATCTCCCTATTTTGACTTCGTCGCTAGTAACTATTCTACTTATTGCTGTTAATTGGTCTCTCGCATGGCATGGTCTCTATAGAAAAAACGTTGCAAACGTTATTACTGATTTGACAATAAATGCTACCAGAGTACGTTCGTAAACATGTTAGCATAATGATTTTTTCTACTGTGTCACGATGCGTGTTTCATGCTTCAATTTGCATTGATGGCTTCTACATTGACTCTGGTCAGCTATATAGTGTCCATCACTGTGACAAACTGCAATTGTACAGCTTTTAGCCCCTGACCTGACAGGAATAGCAGGTGTGGTGGAGGTAAGCAGTATAGTATGAGGGGCGCAGGTGTTAACTTATTCCCGCCCACCGCCGGCTGCCTGTACCCAGTAATTAAATAAGCACGAAATGGGTTCTTTAACGACTTTCTCTGTTTTGAATGCTCAGGTGCAGGTGATACAGCAGTCGCTGCCAAACCACTACCTACCACAGCTGTACTCGCAGCAGATGATGCTGCCAGGGAACCTGGCCATCCAGCAACACAGCATGGGGGCCCTGCAGGGCTTGAACTTGCAGCTTCAGAGCAAGGCCCATGTGGACCACACAAAGCAGGGAGGGGCAGGGGGACCGCATGGGACGACCACCATCATCCCCGCTGTGTCCATTGCGAGTGTCAACCCAGGCGGCAAGGTGGGTGTTGTCGTTTTGTGTAGAATCTGTCGCAGTGTGTTATTGGTGACTGATCAACAAGTGCACAAGTCAGCAGAAATGTCAACAACAATTGGAAAAGAAATGCTTTATTAATCATCGACTTGGCGCTCTACATGTTGGCGACAAATGTGCTGAAATGGTTGGATCTTATCCTGTTGTTGCTGACAGAAGTATGCTTGCGCACGTTAAGTGGTCACAACAGCTTGCAAAATTTGTGAAGCTATGGCCCTAGTGGATTCGGTCCTAGTACACATGTAATTGAAAGAAAAAAAAATAAAAGAGGTAACATTTTAGAATCTGCCCATAATGATGGATTTCCCTAGAACAATGAAAGCACTGTGCAAGTCGTCCAGTTGACCACTGGCACTGTGCAGTTCCAGTTGACCAAAAACGAGAAATTGCAACATGTTTTCCATTTTAAACATTTAATCTGGAGTTTTGTTTTCGGGCATATGTTGCAGAGCTAGTCCACGTAGCTGTATCTGTCACAAAGCCACAAGACCTTTCCCATCACTTCTAAAAGGGCCAACATAGGCTTACAGGCTAAATGTACAACACTTATAAGTTTTCCCACATTGAAACTCTGTGGATGTTGAGTAGATAAGAAAACATTAGAATATGGATTTACTAGAAGGAAGTGTTTCAACTTCAATCTGGCATTGTGTGCACACACAGTCATGGACTTGTTGGCAATCAGCCATTTTCAATATTACAATCTGATCTTCTATCAAGGTCGCTTGTCATGTCATGTTGCCACATTAAATTGTTGCCTGTATGTGTATGAAAGCATGATCATCGCCAGTCTCTTTTAGCGAATGAAGTGTTGCACTGCTCAGCGCGAGAAAGGAAAACTTAAGGAGTGAGCATTCTGCGATGCGATAGAAAGAAAGGAAAGTAGTCTGTAAGGCATGCCCCCATTTTCCCGGTAGGGCGGGGTATCGTGATTTTTCGTTTTGCGGATTTTCGGTCTCTGTCTTGCAGGGTGTGACTATCAGCAGCGCGCCGACGCTGGTGACCACCAACTGCCACATGATGGGCACTGCGGGCAAGCCCTGCCTTCCCACGGGCCAGATGATCCCCAAGGGCACCACGGTCATGGGTCACGGCGGCTACCAACTGCCGCAGACCAGCACGAGCCAGCAGACGCTGGTCATCAACCCCCTGGGGCTCATCTCGGGCCAGAGCATCCTCCCGGCTGCCACTCAAGCGAAGCAGATGGACGCTAACAAGGCCAAGCCTTTCGTAAGTTACTTCGGAATCCACGAGCATCCAGTTTCAATGTGGCAACATCAACAACAGGTTCGGCAAGGCCCGCTTTGTTTTGTGCTGACATTTTGGTATGCATGCAAGCAAAGGTTGTGGGTTTTAGCCTGCAAGTTTGAGGTAGTGCGCTGTAATCGGGATTCCACCGTGAGGAACCGTCTCTCTTCTCATACCCCTCTGCGCAGTATTGATCACGTTTTATGTTGTTTTTGAGGCCACTTTGTTAATGTTCATGGCGTCATTCAAAGCAGCACCAAAAGTTCATTAAAGGTTAGCATAGCTTTGCCAACGCAACAGTGATTGTGTTAAAGCACAACACTTTTTGAGTTACACACCTAAAAATATGCGTCGAAAGTCGGACATTGAAAGGGTTGAGGATATTGACCTCCCTAGTATTCACATTCTCTTTATCGGTATATTACCTGTTACTTGTTAGTCATGGGAGGGTTACCACTTCTTGCATATTGGACAATTACTTTTATCATGGTGAAGTATGTGGCTGTAAGTGTAGCATGTGTGCTGAGCTAATAGCTACATTCTTCACTGTGACACACAGAGTAATTGTGCATGGTGCAAAAGATGGCCACCCTCCCATAACTGACATCTGACATGGTGAGTACCGGCATCGTCATTTCAAGAAATTATTTTCCCGTCATGTTCTCCGCCCATGGCTGCTTTGCCGTTTGCTTTACGTGCGAAAAATGAATAGTTCCAGTGAACTAACTGCTTGAAAAGTTCAATAAAAGTGAAGAAAAGTGCTTATATGTTGAAGATCACTTTTCCAGCTGTTTCAAGCAACGGGCCTTAGCACAGACAAACTGTATGCTGTGTCGATTTACCAGTAAAAAAAAAATGCACACCCTTATCAACGGAAATCTGGTTTGCATCTGGACAGGTGCCTTTCCATTGCTCTTGCCTGATGGCCATAATCCTTCCGGGTAAATGCTCCCCCTTTTGTGTTTTGTGACGGGCGGTATCGGCATGCCCTTTTGTGTTTTTTCCCCCCGCTTCTGTCCCCGCTTTGGGTGCTCCTCCTCGTGAAGGGGGTTTTGTCTGTTGTGTTATGTCTCTCTTCCCTTTTGGTTGGCCCTGCTATATCCCTCTTGTGTTTGTTCCTCTTCTTTTCCTCCCATGCATCCAGATGGTAAAGCATGCTTCCTTGATGTCCCAGAAGGTACCCCCTACCTCTTATGCTCAGGTCAGCACCTGGTGAACACATTTGTTTTTAACATTACTGGAGTGTTTTAGCAGCACTGGTTCACTTGTGTGGTAAACAAGGCAGTACCATTACTGTTACGGTCAGCATGGACCTGTTTTAGTCTGAGACTCACATTTAGCAGTTGGCGCTGCTGAAATGTTTTTGAGTTGTGGCCTGCCGTAACATGAACCAGCAATACCGTAGCATAATTGGTACAGTAACACCAGCACTGCTAAAAAGCCCTGTTATCTTTCTTATTTTTGTTATCTGGTTGAGCCTCATTTTAATGAACATAAGCAATTACTGAAAGTAAAGAAGCAAATGTGAAGCTTGATTCGTTGCGCTGTTTCACCAACACTACGAGGAGTGTGAAAAATGCAGTGTCTGAAGATGTGTCATTTTGGGAAAAGTCAATATTTGTTTGCATGAAGCTCAGTAGTATCTGTATTCAGCCACGCATTGAACGCTTGCTGGGTTAAACACTTTGTTAAAACGAGGTTTATTCACTTTGCTTCATTTAGTTGGCCAGCAGGAAACAGTTGAGCCAGCATGTCATTGGTACGCTATTACACTGGTTGCATGGCAGTGCCTTGATGGGTCAAAGCCAATGCTTGTTATTCGACAATTTTCGCATGCCATGCCATGAGAAAACGCTGATAGCACCGTATGCAAACAGCCCGCCAAATCACGGCACAGCAATAAAGGTGTGCCCTGCATTGGCACAGTGCCACCCAGTCATCAATTCAAAAGGGGCTGTTCGCTGGCTCATAGGACGCATCATTCTTGCAGTGTTACGATGACCTAATCAGATAATTTTTTTGATAACGTCATCTTGTATCTTGATTACAGTTTTTCTTCTCAAGCAACGTCAGGCACACTGTTACGTTACGATCACACGCTACAAAATTCTGTATCGCTTCCAGGTAGGGAGGCTCAGCCGTGTGCTAGTATTTTTCTTTTGTTATCCCATTTTGCTTCTTCCCAATGTCTTGCTTGCTACGTTGTAGCAGCTATCTCGAATGCTTGCGTGATCTGTGTGTGCTGTGCAACTCGGGCATTGAATGTCAGAACTTGTTAGAGTAGATGGTGCAGGAAAATGTAGATTCTTTATTTCGGAGTATAATTGCCATTGCTATCTTGTGTTACTTTCTTGCTGGCTCAATAACAGCACAGCAATGCAGTTAGCATGCACTTCATGGTGCGAGTGGTTTCTTTATAATTTGCGAGTTTGTAAGCTTACCAATTTTCAATAATGGCAGGTGTTTCCTCAGGGTGTCGGCCAACATGGAAAACCCTGAAAAGTCGGGGAATTTGAACCCTTCTGGAATAGTCGTGGAAAAGTCTGGGAATTTCTGAAAAATTTGGCCTGGTCATGGAAACTGACTGTAGCCCGTGCGACCATCACAAAAATAAGCATTACCATAGATCAAAGCTTAAAAAGCTACTCCTTTGGCTGCAACTACAGCAAACAGCTAAAAGTAGTGCGAGAAAAAAGCAGTGCACAACTGTTGCTTCTTAGTAAAGACATAAAAGGATGCACCTACCAAACGAATACAAAGTTTACTGACATCATGGCACCCGCTACGGGAACCTTGTTCACAAAAACAGCCACAAAAAAAAAGGCACAGCGTCCCACTACAGTTTTTTTACTTTGGGACCCTCGCCTGTATTTTTGTTAATCTTGTAACTTTTTTTTTTTGAAAACAATAAACTGAAAATTAAAAAACGAAATGAAGTACGCCCAAGTGGCGTAAGCATCGGAAGTACATCGTTGGAAGCGTCCCATCACTCCTGTTCAGCTTATGAACAGTTGTCTGCATGTGCTGGTATTTCAGGTGCAGGCATGATGCAAGCCTTCCTTTGGCCAGAACATGCACACTTGACCAGTCAGTTTGGTGGCCTGTAGAATCCACATGTTTAGCAAGGGCATACGAGGTCACGTAGTTTCCTGATGTCATATTCATGGAGCATAATCTTTTTGCAGATGGTCGGTTCTGGGTGATAATGAATCAGGGGGGTTTTACCTCTTTTCTTGAAATCAGTGGTCTCACGGATGTATTGGTTGTCACAATTGTGGCAGCGTAAAGTAAAAAATTCAGTGGAAATTTTCGCTTGGCAACTTGTCCTTCACATTGGCTAAAGCGTTCCCTAGCTTCCATATTTGTACATATACTATGTTGATGTCTGTTGCTTCTACATATCATGCAGCATATCTGACTTTTCAACTACAGCATTCACGTAGTTAAATTTATGCATGTTTGTCTTGACCATGATTTGGCTCGGCTTGAAGGCCTTCTGGTTCGGCTAGGACTGCCATTAGCAGAGGCTTGCTGGGCTATGCCATGCCTTTTATTATTACTACTACTACCATCATTATTCTTGACGATGCAATGGCAAACGTCCTCAGCTACACACTTATTTCTGGTAGGTCACAATTCAAGGGTAGAGTTGGGAACTTCATCTAAATTTCTCATTTTAGTTTCTTGAGATGGGATTGTTAAATCTGTGATTACTTTTTAGCCTTATATTCATAGAAGAGTACACGAATGAAGGCAACCCGCGGGCATCTGTGAAAAATCTATGGAATCAGGGGAGATATTGCGCTCTGACAGATTCGTTCTTGCCAGCACATGTTCAAACACCATTGCTTTAAACGCTACCCCTGGCTTTCATTCCAGCCATCTGAGGACTTGGTCTTACTGTAAGCGTCAGAGCCCAGAGAAATTAAACATCAACACGCATGTGCTCGTCGTGGAAAAGAAAAGAATGAAATAATTATGCACTAAGGCTCCGTTTTTGCGACACTGTTGGTCATTGTTCAATGCAAGGTGCACAGAATACGCAACTAGTATGTTTTTTTTTTTCTGAAAGGTATATGTTAGAGGTGTGCAATTTAGGTGGGAATGTAAATCTATAGTAAATACAGCAATCCATGTCGCATCAAATCTAATCCAATCTACATCTTAAATATAAAAAATAGTCAGTAAATACAGGTCAATCCAATCCACATCCTAAGTGGCCTGGGCTGTAACCATTATAGTGAACTAGGATATATTCCAGTGGCGGAACCGACCAGGCTCCGGCGTCCTCCTTTTACACAAATGCGTCGAGATGGGGCCACTTCTACATTTTATAGCAGCTATGGCTGCATCGTAGGATTGTCGTGGGCTTCTTTAAACTTTTAGCTGAAGTTTATTTCAACTCGTGTGTTTGCCTTCTGGTTCTTCCAAACATTAAACAGCCAACTTGCTTGCTCTCGCCCGGAGGTTTCATCTTGGTCAGATATGCATATTTTTTCATATTTACCGCACGTGCACAGAATATTGTGAGCACTTGTGGTACATTTATTCACTTATTTTATACATGGGGGCGCCTGATTTTTTTATCACCCAAGGGTCTGTTTCCAGTGCACAGAGTTTAACAAGCAGATGTGGCGGTCATGGAATTTGCGTCAAATTATCGTGGAAAACCTGGAAAAGTCAGGGAATTTTGAAAAAAGGAAATTGGTAGACACCCTGCTTCTGAAATCTCATCTGGTTTAAGAAAATTGGAATTGTTTCAGAGTCCCATGTTATGAAGACCTGCTAATTGTAGTGATGCTAAAACTAAGTTACAGTCTCCTGCAGTTAATCTACATAAGGCAAAACAATGAAATTATGGTTACCCTCAACCAAGTTAACCTGTAAGTGAAGTTAGGTCTTTCCCTCCAGCTTAAGTGCTTCATAGGTGGTGAGTTTTGGCCCAAATCTTGGTTATTGCGTGCACGTAGTTGGGGTGTTGGTATCCAGGAAAAATTGCGCACCTGGTGTAAAATAAACTGTTTGCCGAGTGGAATGTCGTCTGTTACTTATTTATTAGAATACGTTGGTACTAGTTAATTATCATTCATGAATGAGTGCCGGCACTGCAGATTTTCTTCTATTTAAATCTTTTTTTTAAAGCAGCCCTGTAACGCTTTTTCAACATTGTCTGAAAATGCTGGACATCGATTGGTAGTCGAGGCTCCTGTGAGCATGTGAGCTAAACATCAAAGCTCAGCACATGACATGGTATTCGTAATTTCAAATTCAGCCAGTTTCAAATTCAGCCAGAAATCGCTCAACTCTTCTCTTGGAAAATAATGCCATATACCTAATTAATTGGGGTGCATCCCCAAAAGACACAACAGCTGACCGATCTGGTAGAGAGAGAATAAAATGAGAGAAAAGGAGCTGATGTGAATGTAGCGAGTTGCCTACTTACGACAGCTGCCGCCTTAGAGTTTCCTATAAATATGCTAAAGGGAACCCTGGCGACAGTGTCTGTGGGAGCTGCAACGCACTGTGCTTCAGCGAGCACGAGAATGATGCGTAATACACGGATTTGTCTAATCTACCGTTCTTCTGGCTCCGTTTGGCTTTGCGTGGCTTGAGAGCTGTTTTGTCACGAGACAACAGCAAATTTTCAGCTGTTGAACTTCACCGCCTTAACCTTCTAGGCTCCTGAATTCGATTCGGCTTACGAAGTTCACTTACGGTTAGCTCTTTCAGTCGAAGCTATATCAAAACACAGCAATAAGCCAAGCCACAAGTGGGTTCAAAGCCCGAAAGCACGAAAACTAGGCAAACACGTGTACCTACCCATCATTCCCATGGTTGCTGAATGAACGCAGTGCCAGAGTCTCCTCTAGGTAATTTTAGGAAATTCTATGGCTGCCCCCGTGCGCTGGACACACCCACGTCGCGACACGCCACAGTGCAAGCAAGTGGGCCGCACCCAACACTGATACGATGGTCGCATGCATGTTCAGAGAAATCAGGGAAAGAAAGTGCTCCCTTTGATGCACCTCCCGTGTGTCTTTTAGTGCGCTCACTGAAAATAAAGGATGGAGTAAGCGTTTAGAGCATGCAAAAAATCCCTAGAAACGGTGCTCATATGTAATGGACTCTTCATATTTTTGTCGCAGTAAATTCATGAGGCAATGAATTCCGACATTGAGGTAATTTCATGATGCTTTGGAAAGGTATCGCTGGGCTTCTCTAAATCAAACGTTGTGAAATGTACTTTGCATTTTCTCAATCATTGCCTTACATAATTAACTCAAAGCCCTTGCTCGTGAAGAAATATGGGCCAATTCGTGACTCGAACTCTTGTGCATTAGGCAGGCACACAACATCAAAAGGGCTGATATAGGCAGGATAACGCAAGCCCTGTCCGTGTGTCTCCCTTGTCTGATCTTTGTGGTTGTCATGATGCATATTTGTTTTGGCATACGTAGATCTGTTTATTGTTGCATAGTGATATGCTGAATCTCAAACCATGAACTGTGTGATTGTGCAGCCAGAAGAAATGCATACAGTGCACCAATTTATCTCGTTCTTAGCAAGATCACAATGCCTAAGCCTACTGCTACAAAGTGATGAAAAATTTCATCCTATGTCATGATGTCGTGGCAACTGCATTGAAGGCTAAGACAACAACTCGTAATGAATCCAGAAACAAAATGAAAAATTCTGTAAAGGCTATTCGTTTTCATGTGACCTAGTTTCCACTGCAACTATGAAGCTGTCAGTAATACACCTTTGTTAATAGACAGGTGTGTTTGGTGTTTTTGTGCCAGTGTTATTGCTATTGTTTTAGTGACGAATCACTGTCAGATTGCATATCTGCTTAGATAGTAATGTCACTCCCACTTTCAGGTGATGAGTCAACAGACGCCACTACAGCCAAAATCGCCACTAATGGCCAATACGGTCAATGCCCACGGATCTGGCCAGATGGCCACTGCTCAAGTGATCAACACCAACCAGTTCAAGCAGCTTTCCCAGAACAACCCACAGATTATCTCTAGCCAGCAGCCCACTGTCATCAGCCAAGCACAGCTTCTAGGTTGGTGTAAGCTCTTTCACTACCAAATAAAAACCAGCAAGATTATAACTCCAAAAAGAGCTAAGGCTGGTTTGTGACGTTGGTCGGGATGAAACAATGAGGACAGAGAAGATTCCAACAGAATTGGGTGCGAATAGGAATGAAGTAAAATGATGAAGAATGCTCTTTTTTATTTGTTCATGGAAAAAAATAAGGCCATTGTCGATTGCCTGGAAGACATGAGAAGGTTGATTATGCAAATAAGTAAGCAAATCAAGGGCATAACCAGAATTTTTCTTGTGGGGGGGTGTGGTGTGGTGGTGGGGGTTTAGTGAATCAACATGAACCTCTGCTAGTGCACCTGTCACCAAGCATGCCCGTCTTCATACTTTTTGGAGCTTGTTCGAGATGCTACTAGGGGTGTTGCCTAGATTTTGTTACTAGGGGGCACCGCCCCTGGATAACTAAATTTTTATATTATACACTTTGTCTCCTGGTCCGTTACGATTGCTTCGATGCGACTACACTGTAAATACCATAACTTATTTGCACACTTGTTTTTCTGCAATGCCTACTTGCATCAAAAGATTGATTGATTGATATGTGGGGTTTAACGTCCCAAAACCACCATATGATTATGAGAGAGGCCGTAGTGGAGGGCTCCGGAAATTTCAACCACCTGGGGTTCTTTAACGTGCACCCAAATCTGAGCACACGGGCCTACAACATTTCCGCCTCCATCGGAAATGCAGTCGCCGCAGCCGGGATTCGAACCCGCGACCTGCGGGTCAGCAGCCGAGTACCTTAGCCACTAGACCACCACGGCGGGGCACTTGCATCAAAAGATTTGCCATAAATTGAGTTTGAGCTCGTTTGGCAGCGTTTGCAAATTGAGCACAAAAATGACAAACCTTTGTCATGTTGCACACTTCGTGCGTATTCTCCGGTTCGCAGGATCACTGCAAGCTCTCAATGCCACGTTTCCGCACGGCATCACATGGGCGCAGCCGGGCCAGCTGCAGGGCCCCACCCTGCTCTCCCAGAACCCCATCTACATACGTAGCCAGCAGTCGGACGTGTTCCTACAGCCAGGACCCCAGCAGGCCCTTCATGCGCTGCCCGTGGCCACTGCTCAGCCCGCCGTGGCTCAGGCACAGCCCCAAGCACAACCTCAGGCCCCCCAGCAGCCCACCGTAGCACTGGCTGCTGCCCCTCCTGCGCAGCAGCCGCAGCCAATCCAGCAGCAGCCGCCCAAGCCTAAGCAGGTTGGCATGGCCTGCCTCATTCACAGTAGTGTGCCCACAGAAACGTCCAGTCGTTGCCAGTTGCGAAAGTCAGCTGAAAAGGCTGCTTCTGTAGTTCTGTGGATATGTGGCATTTTTTATTTTTAAATTGCTTCCCGAGGCTCTTGGAAAGGGCAATAACAAAAGGGGAGATGTAAATATAGATGTGAAAGATAATATTGCTATAAATAATGAACATACGAGTTAAGAAAAATAAACTGTTGAACTAAAGTTTTCAATTAAATCAGAAGCAGTGTTCACTTAAACCTCATTATAACAACATTTCATCTTACACAAAAATAAGCTCTCTATATCCAAAACTTCTTTATAAAGGTATATTCCTAGTACTGCATTTTTTGCAAGAATATTTTTAAATCACTTTGTTAAAACCAAGAATTTGTTATATTCATGTTTGTTATATCGTGATCTGAGTGTATTACTAGAAAAATCTTTGTAAGTTAAGAAAATGGCTTGTTACGATGCATGAGCACATGTACAGTAGACTCTCATTAAACAAAAGCTGAAGGGAACAAGAAACTTTGTTTCATTTTACAACAGTTTTGTTTACTGAGAGTGAATGGAGATGTAGTATTTAAATACTAATATTTTGAAGGTTGCAAGAATAGAAATTAAGAATTGGCTGTAAAAATATAATTTTTCTAATGTTCAGGAGTTAATTCGCTTATTTTGGCCATAACAGCTAAATTACAATTTTGGCTTCTCGTAGTGTGGGCACTGCTTTAGAACTTGAAATTTCATATTTTATTTTGCTTTCATATTCAAATCGTGCTTCTTGCATTCTGAATGGGGCAAAGTGCAAGAATAGTTCTGTGTTGAGAAGTGGCACTCGTTTCCGAATTCTGGGTGCTTGGGTCTTTAATTTGGCATTTCGCTACATGATTTAATTTCTGCACTCTCGTTGCATGAGAAAAAAAACTCTTTGTAGCCACTTATTCCTTTCCAAAGTGCAAGTTGCCGAAATTTTAATACGGGTGGCAGCGGTGGTGAATTTGGCAATAAGAGCTCATGTGTGCACCTTATCTTCAAAGGCTAGTTATGTTTATCCATATTTATCCAGGTTCGTCCAGCCAGTTCAGTGGCCACTCAGACTGCCACTTCAACCGCTGTTACTGTCAACTCTCATGTCCTTCCGGCAAGATCACAGGTGTGTGTTGTGGGGATCACATTTGCAGCATTTCCACCAACATACAAAGTGCCTTCCCAAACAGACTCTTTATCAACCGTCATCAGTCTGGTACAATTTTAGGAGTCTGCAGCATATGCATATTAAAGATCTCGAACGAATACTCGCATGACAAAAACCAGGACAGACATAAGGAAAGGCAGACTAAAGAAAAAAAAGACAGTCTGTCTTTTCTTTCTCGTCCTCATTTTTGTCATGCTAGTATTCATTGAAAATGTAAGCACGCCAACTTGCCCCAATTGACCGTTCTGATACCTCGAAGGTGGATGCACACCTGGCGTTCATTATCATTGCAGCTTGTAAAACCTGCTGGTGTTTTAGATTGATGTGGAAAGCATCCAAACATAACGTGGAACACAATGCCGATACGTATTTCCCCTTTTTCACAGCAGAATGAAGATGTTCTGAATACATGCTCTGTTTATTGCTTGACTCAGTTAATACCTCAAGCCACCAGAATTACAAGTAATGCAGCAAGCACTCTTGACCTAATACTGGCAACGCATCCTGCCCTCGTCTCCGACATTACATACTTGCCAAGAATCAGTGACCACGTTTCGCTAAACTTCGTTATCAATATTAGCCCTAGTAAAAAGACTAAACAGCAGAAACGCATGCTATACTACTGGAAAGCTAACTTCAAAGCAATAAATAATGAGCTAACTCACTTTTACGATGATTTTGTTAGAGATTTTGAATCTCGTTCCGTTCAATCTAACTGGGACCCTGTTCGCCTGCACAGACCATGAATTGATCAAAAAGTATATCCCTAATCGCACACTCATTTCCAATCCCCAAGCGATGTAGTATTCCAGTCATCTAAAACACCTATGTAATAGAAAAAAAGCATTTCTTTCATTTAGCTAAAAACTGGCCTTCACCTTCGCACTGGACAACTTACAAATCTGCTACAAACACCTACCTAAGGGCTTTTAAAACTGCAAAAAACAACTACCTAACTGGAACACTACCTAAAACACTGAAAAATAACCCTGGAAAGTTTTGACAAATGATTAACCCAACCACTAACAACACTATACCACTAGGAGATTCATCTGGAAATAATATCCCGATAACATGTGCGCATCAGTTATTAATAATTCATTTTCAAGCCAGTACTCTAAATCCGTCAACATCATACTCCATTATTGTCACCAATATAATTACATGTCCATGGATCCAGTAATTATCGAAGTACCTGGAATGTTGAAGCTAATAGATAAGTTATTATTCCACTTCGCTCCTGGCTGTGATGGCTATAATAGCAAATTTTTTAAAAGCACTAGCGTAGTTAGTTCTATGATACTAAGTAAAATATTTGGACAATCATTGAGTACTTGTCAACTTCCAAAGGAATGGAAAACAGGGAAGGTGGTTCCAATCTATAAATCTGGCCCCAGAAACTCACCTCTTATAATTACCGACCCATATTACTAACAAGTAATTGTTGCAAATTATTAGAACATGTAATCTTCTCGAATCTTCCTAACTTTCTATAGTCTAACTCATACTTTCCTAAAGCGCAACATGGTTTTAGAAAAGTGTACTCCTGCGAGACAGAGCTTGCTTCTTTACTCATCATCTGCATCAAATCCTGGATCGATCATCTTGCGCTGACAGTATTTTTTTAGATTTTAGCAAAGCATTTGACAAGGTTTGCCATGGAAAACCGTAATTACTCCAATCTAACGCGCACCTTTTTTCCGGTATAGCGAGTTCATAAATCGCATGCGCGTTAGAATTGAGTAGGAAAAAAAATGAATACGGTCATTCTATTGCCATGGGCATTTCCAAAATGGCCACCCCCTACGTGCGTCGGCATGGCATGTCGGCCATTTCTGCCTATGTGTTTCCCATGTGCAGCACTTCGTACGTGTGCTGAGGAGTTCGTCATATTGTAGTGAATTAGCATCGACGGCATGGAAGGGCCGACTCCAAAAACTCGAGTGCACCACGATGCCACTTTTAAATGAAAAGTTATCGCATGTGCAAAAACGGACAGAAATCGGGCCGCATCGCGGTCGTTCGCAGTTTCCGAAACTTGCGTGCGGGACTGGCGGAAACAAAAGCAGAAGATTGTCGACAGCAAAGCTTCACGCAAAGGCTTCAGTGGACCATAGCAGGGTTGGTTTCCGAAAATTGAAGAACTGCTCGGCGAGTATGTGCTTGAGCAGCGAGCGGCACAGCGGCCCGTGACGACAGAACTGCTCCAAGTGCGGGCTATGCAATTAGCCTTAGAAAAAAGTCTAACGCGGAGCCAGTTTCAAGCGAGCAGGTGTTGGCTAACTAACTTTATGAAGAGGAAAGGCTTTTCCCTCCGAAGGTGAACGGGCATATGCGAAAAGTTTTGCGGAGGAGTACGATGAAAAGCTTCACAGTTTTCAGAGGTTCGTCCTAAACTTGCAGCACAACAATGGCTACCTGCTTGGGCAAATCGGGAATGCCGATCAGACGCCTCTTTACTTCGACATGCCTGGCACCACACCCGTCAAGAAGAAGGGGGCGAAAGAAGTTCGCGTGCTGACATTGGTCCACGGTAAAACTACAGTGATGGAAATGCTCTGTTACACGTCAGATGGGCACAAGCTTCCCCCGTACCTCATATTTAAATGGAAGACGCTCCCGAAAGGAGTTGTTTTTTCGAGTGGTGTGATCGTGCGGGCCAGCGAGAAAAATGGGTGCGCGTTGCAATCGATGTCTTACTTTTTTTTTCATCGTGGAAATCGGGTGCGCGTTACAATCGAGGGCGCGGTAGAATCGAGTAAATACGGTACTGCTCTTAAAACTGAGCTTGCCAAATATCGACACTAACCTTCTTGAATGGATAGAACATTTTCTCTCTAATGGCTTCCAATTCGTAACTGCTGATGACCATCATTCACCACTCAGTGAAGTACATTCAGGTGTGCCTCAAGGTTCAGTGTTGGGACCTTTATTATTTCTTGTATAAATTATTGATCTAACTTTTTCAATAACTTCTCACATACATCCGTTCGCAGATGACTGTGTTATCTACCGTGAAATTACCAATGTCGATGATACTAAAACACTTCAAACTGACCTAAATAATATAGCTAATTGGTGCAATAACTGGTGAATGGAACTTAATATTAAGAAATGTAAGATAATGCACGTATTAAAAACTAACTCGAATCATAACACCTACTATCTAAACAACATTCTCTTAGATTCCATCTTGTAGTGTGCACATCACAAATAACTTAAGTTAGACGTAATTAACACGTACATAATTAAGTATGTAATTAAGAATGCTAATCGCATGCTCGGATACTTATGACGTAACTTCTCCAAGGCACCCTCTTCCTTAAAACTAATACTTTATAAGTCTCTCATACGCCCTAAACTCGAGTCTGCATCTGCCGTATGGGATATCAGTCATGCTAATCGCATCACCTCTCTTAAACTAGTACAAGAAAACTCTGCTACGTTCATCCTCTCTAACTACAACCGCACTGCAAGTATGACTTCAATGAAAAATAACTTATCGCTTATTCCATTGGCTCACCGACGAAAAATTGCCCGTCTTTTACTGTTTCATAAAATTTTCTATCACCCAACACTTCATAATGATCTGATACTTCGGCCTCTGTACATCTCAAACCGTGTTGATCATCGCAATAAGGTAGGAATCGCATCATGTCACACTAAGTCTTCGTTTCAGTCATTTATTCGCCGCAGATCTCGTGATTGGAACCACCTTCCCTCGAATGTTGCAACCATCACACTTCAAACTTTTTCTCGAAACATTAGCTAACATTGTATAACCAGGGAAATCTGTTACCTATACTTATTGCTTCTGTTTTTTTTATATTTTTGAAATAACTATTATTGTATATTCTGCAGAAATGTTGATATTATCTAAGTCTTTTATTGTATTGTTTTACTTGTATTTATTGCACTGTTTTATTTGTATTTTTCATGTATTTACCCACTCCCCTCTTTAATGTCATTTTGGCCCTGATGGTACTATAAATGAATGAATAAATAAATAAATAAATAAATATCTTTTTTTCTCTTTGGGGGCCAATTAAATTACAGAAATCACATATCGAGATGCAACATCGTTATGTTTAGTGTAATGAGTACTTTGAGTAATTGTGCATGATAACCACGTCATATTGCTTACGCATTGCTTACGTCATATTGCTTATATACGCATTCGAGTTGAAATTATGTCGATGTGACACGAACTGTAGTTGCTGTATATGAAATTATGTGCATTTAATAGCCCTAAGTTATCACGTGTCAATTCTGGGGTGCTGTACAGATTTAGTAGGTTACTAATCGAGGAAACCTTTCTCTGTAGTGGCTCATAGAAGTTTCACGCAGTTTTAATGGGAGCTCAGTTTCTATGTTCAATGTAAGCCTGCCTGCGGGTTATTTGTCCGAAACGTTTCGGCCATCTTCTCGCAACCAGTTTTGTCAAACGAGAAAATGGAAAAGCTCTATGGTGTAAATGAGAATAATCTAACGCTTTGCTTGTTTTCTTTGAATAGTGCCTCATGCTGTTATTCATTAATAAAAAAACCTACATTTAGGCATTGTCCAAAGTTCGCTCTCAATTACCCTCATGTACGCTTGTCTCCATTATTGGTATCTTAATATATTGCTGCGAATTTGTAGATATTGTATTGGCAGTGGGTCATGCCTTGTGCACATCCGATCTTTTATGGTCTTTGCCCTTTCGTTTCTTTCTCATATGACAGGCCAAGCCAAGGATCAGAGCCCAGACAAACCGTACTTCCCCAGGTCCCGGACAGCAGCAGAATATGATCCACACACAGACGGCTAACACGCAGACGCAGACTTTTGCTGTGCCATCTCCGCAGCAGCAGACGACAGCACAGCAACAACAACAACAACAACAACAACAGCAGCAGCAGCACCATCATCATCAACATCAGCAGAACATCCAGCACCAGCACACTCACCCTCACCAGCATGCAAATGCTCAGTTCCAGCAACAGATTCATCAGCAAATTCACCAGCATCAGCAGCAACAAAAAGGTGTGCAGGCCCTCTCTTATGGTTAGCATAGTTTGGCACACACTCGCCTTTGGGTAACATTGGAATGAAGCTTTTTTTGTTTGTTTTTGCCCAACGAGTGCCTCACCCAATTCACATGGTGGCTGTATATATGTATGTACGTACGGGAGGCCAGGTTTCGCACATTTCAGTGAAGGGGGCTGGCCCTTCTCCAAGCCACCACCCTTTCGATTTATTGATTGATATGTGGGGAAATTTCGACCACCTGGGGTTCTTTAACGTGCACCCAAATCTGAACACACTGACCTTCAGCATTTTCGCCTCCATCAAAAACGCAGCCGCCGCAGCTGGGATTCGATCCCGCCACCTGCGGGTCAGCAGCAGAGTATCTTAGCTACTAGACCACCACGACGGCATTAAGACCTAGATAGCATGAAGGGAGCCATGTCTGGTAGATTGATTCCAATTCCACTTGCGCCTTTCACACCAGTGCCACATTACCATGAGTGTGGTGTATGTCTGTCAGAAGTCGCATGTGCACTTTATTAAAATTTTGTTCACTGTTATCTTACTTTAGAGCTGATCACAATGCATTTTGGGCCTGGAGCTTGCAACGAAGTACCTTTTTCTGTTTTTGCAGCTGATGCAGCCAACCAGACGGCAGTCGCCCAGCAACAGCAGCAAGCACAGCAGCAAGCACAGCAGCAAGCGCAGCAGCAAGCGCAGCAGCAAGCACAACAACAAGCACAACAACAAGCACAGCAACAAGCACAGCAACAAGCACAGCAGCAAGCACACCAGCAAGCTCAACAGCAGGCTCAACAGCAAGCTCAGCAGCAGCAAGCGCAGCAGCAACAGGCCCAACAGCAACAAGTGCAAGTGCAAGTGCAGGTGCAACAAGTGTCACAGCAGCAGATGCAGCTTGCACAACATCCGCCCCAACAACAGCAGCAGCAGCAGCTTCATCATCATCACCACCACCACCATCAGCACACTCCCATTCAACCACGTATTGTTCCCGAGATGAAGAGCACTTCAACTCAAAGCACAGCGAAGACGTCAGCCGTGGTGAACATTGAGCCGAAGCCAGCGAACATGCAGTCCAACCAGTCCCAGAGTCACCAGCAGCAAGCTCAGAACACAAATATGGTGAACCACGGAACACCAGGGAACCATGCTGCCACTGCAAACGCGCCCATGCCAAGCTCGGCCCCATCTCACACCACGCAGAGTCACCCGACAGCGAGTCACGGCACACCGAACAGCCACTCGGTGACCGGTCACTCGACTATGGGTCGTGCGGCAACGCCCACGAGTCACGCGGCATCACCGAGTCATCCGACAGGCAATCTCACCGTGGCACCCAACCATTCTCCTTCCATCCACGTCAGTCTTCCTAGCTCAACAGTGCATGGAATCACCAGCCACTCGGGTCCGTGCCACACATCGGTCAGTCACATGACTTCCACGCACGTGTCCGTGACACCGACGTCGGTCACGCACACGTCGAGCACCACGCATCCGACCATGGTCCACGCTCCGGTGGGGAGTCACATCGCCGCTGCTCACGTGCCAGGACCTCACATGGGTAACCACCACTTGACTGGCAATGCTGTGTCCGGAGGTCTCAGCGTGAGCAGCCATGTGGCTGTTGCACCTCAGCAGAAGGCAACTGTTGGCGTGCCGTCTCCGCCGGTCGCAGCACCACCACCGGCAGCTGTCAAGGGGTCGGCTGAAGATAAGGTTGAGGTGAGTTATTAGCAAAGCTATCTGAGTCTACCCTGTGCCATTGTCGTTGTTGTCATTGTTCAGGAAGTAGTAGTAGTAGTAGTAGTAGTAGTAGTAGTAGTAGTAGTAGTAGTAGTAGTAGTAGTAGTAGTAGTAGTAGTAACGAACCTGAGCCTGACGCGGCATCCGTTCGCTGTATCCCGAAGTTCGTAGTAAATGAAACACAGCTTTTATTTAAAAATTTGCAAGTGAAAACGCACTTTCTTTGCCTAGAAAGTTCGTCATGCACATGTTTCAAAGAGCAGAAGCAATAAGGGCGGTCTCGTGTTCATTTAAACGGCAGGGTGCTCGTTCGCCGAGGCCCGTGGCATAAGCAGCATGAGGCACTGGCTCCCAAGTTTCGTCATTCTCGCAGTCCGATTCCTCCAAATCGCTCTCGCCACGTACTTCATTCACAATGCCCTAATCCGTGCACGGTTCCGCAGTGTCGGCATCATCATCGGCCGTAATTAAACCATTGCAACAGATGTCCCACCCGCTCTCCCAGGTCGGAGTCGACAACGCGCTGCCACAAATCGCTGCCGGAGTGATCCTGTTCCGAAGCTTCAGGCTCGGCATCAGGCCCGAGGTTGACGAAGTTGGCCTCGCGAAAACAGTTTCGTGCGCATGTAGCCGTCACCGCAGCTGAATACCGGGAGGCCCGAAGGGGCAAGTTGGCTGCCAGATGGTCAACAGCTATGAGCAAGCGCTTCGAAACGCAGCACCTAACGCACGAATTACTGCTCAAGCCAAGCGGTCACACTTACGACATTTTGTTGAGTGGCAGGAAAAAGCGTGCAAGTCCTCCCGCCTGCCGTCCTAACCACACACCCCCACCAAAAGTGAGCAAAACGTGCACACGTGACACACATGCCAGAACGCGTGGAACAGCTCTGGGTCCGTATCTTGTCAGAAAACGAAACTAATTCGAGCCTACGTGGCTGGTGTCGCGGAGTGGTGGAGACGGGCGATGAGGTTGTGATCAAGAGAGGAGAGCATATTTGTGAAAGAAGGGCAAGGAGTTGCGATAGAGTGAAGAGAGGGGAGGATGTGGCGAGAGGGGACCTTGAAAACCAAAACATACGGGAAGGAGGCAGGTTGGGTAGCTTGCTTGAAAGGTCCGCGGAACGCACAACTCGCACGTAGAAAAACTTGAAAGAGTGCTTGTGCGCGCAGAAGTTAAAGCACGATTTCCTGGATCGGTGTGCGCGGCGGTGCTAAAAAAATCGCTTTGTTGCACCGGCGGGTTTGCGTGGCCTCACCAACTTCGATATTTCGCGATTCGTTCCGTGCAAATTAGCAGTCGTTTTCATGCTTCCGCACGCGTGCGGGGGGGCATGCTGAGCCGAGTGCGAAGTGAGGGAGAACAAGTCCTAAACACGAAACGAATCGCAAATTATCAGTGTCGGTGGGGTAGTGTACGCGCGTGCACTAGACACAGACGGTTGGATACAGTTGGTGGCCAAAGATGTTGGCAAATGGTCTGGTGACTCCTCCAGGCCGGCGATGCCAACGACAGTACCAGCGTTCAAAAACAGGGGAGATGGGTGACCGGTCTTCGAAAGATGGGTGACCGGTCTTCGAAAGATAGGTGGCAGTATGAAAACACAGGCCGCATCTGGCGATGCAGGGTGCTCAGAGCGGGGGGGACAAAGGACGGAGGGGTGCATAACAAAAAGCAGTCGGGAAGAGCGGCAACTAGAAGGGCGCGGAGGCAGGGTCGGCGTTTAACAATAAGAATGTATGGGCACCTCGCCAATGCCTGATCTGGTTTCTCGGGGCTGTAACCGATCAGCGGCGCTCAAAGACGTTCGTTGCAATTTTGTGCCATTGAACTAATGTATATTTTCACGGTCACGCGGATATTGTTCGTTTTAAGTGGGCCCGTTATATGTGGGCTCGACTGTAGTTGTCGCGCAGGTCAGACGACCAGGTGGCAGGGTTAAATAATTAAAACAAAATGAGGATGAAGACTTTTTGTTGGAAAGTTCATCACCATTGTCATGACAACCACCTTGGTGCAGTTTCACCGTGCAAAGGTTTCCATGGCCTGTAATTAAATTTTGTTTTGCTTTTAGTGAATTGGGCTGTATTAGTGTGAAGAAATGGGGGTAATAGCGGCAATAAGATTCCTAATGTGGTGGAATAACACAAAAGTGTCTTTATTATGTAGGCCACCATTGATCAATTGGTCTGAGTGATGTACATGATGGAGGAGAGCTATAGCAAGCGATGAAATTCAACGGAACATGACGTGTAATGCTCACAAGTGCAAAAGATGGCAGTGCACATTTGTGATCATGTAGCTGGTGTAGAGCCACTTTTCTGTTAATAGCAGAAGATAGGATGAAGCAATGAAAGTGGGAACTTTGTGAGGGCGAAATATTTCAAACTAGCACTGGATAAGATGTTGATTAGTAATCCTGGACTTTTCTTCGTTAAGCTGTTGTCCAGTGGGAATATTTGAAATAGGCTGCTGATGGCACCATGTTAACACTATTCAGATATCAGATGCACATATTTCTTTGAAAATGTAAATAAAGTTACATAACGAAATAGTGCTATGATAGTGGAATGCTATTTTCTTTGCCTTTACAAATTTCTATTGTCGATACGCAAGTTGTCATCACTGAGGGAGAGCTTAGCAAGTTTACGAGGTCGCCATGGCCCTGCAAGGTGTTTATAAAAGGCTTAATTTCAAATTTCATGGGTGACGTTGGATTGCTCGTATTTGTCCTTAGTGATAAGGAGGAATCTTGCAACAATGATACCAGGTCCAGTGTGGCTTGTACGAAACGAATTCTTTGTCTTGGTGAGAACACGCAGCCGTTACTGTTGGTGTTACTCTGAAAAGCTCTCAAGTCATTTTTCTGTGACACAACATCGCATGAAATTCCCCGTTTTTCTTTAATTTATAGCTCGAGCCTTGCCACGGCAGACTTAGTGCCTTAGGTTAGTGTGCAAGGGTGTATTGGTCAGCTGCTGCTTCATGTGCGATGTGACACCCTCTGGCAAAAAGAGTGTGTTTCATACTTGCCGCCTTGGCCTTGAGTGGTGGTGGCTAACACTCTCTGGAATAAAATGTACATCAATACCCAACAAAGCAAATGGGGTAGTGCCTCGTCACATCTCGGTTACAATCGGTAGGGCATTGGACGCAAAATTCGAAGGTTTTGGAACCGGATTCCAACTATAAAAAAGGCGATTTTCACCCACTTTAACACTGTTTGATTTAATTATGTCTTAATTACTATTAAAGACAACAACTCGACTTCTACATTTTCCTGTGCTTCCCACTGCCGTTGTGGTAGGGCCTTAGTTGGGGCCGGGACAACTGATATGGCATGAATAGAACCCTTTGAAATCAAGAAGCGTTTCTTGACTTCTCTGTTAAGAGAAGGGCGCTTGTGCCGTGGCATTGTGGAAAAAGCAGATTAATGTTCCATGTTTTCGTGGCCTAGCTGTCTGCTGGTGTCTAAAATTGCACTTGGCATTCCTTGAGGTGTGAAAGCTGAGATGCTTATACAGCCGAAAGTGCGTTAAAACCAAGGAAACGTAAATGCTACATGGAAGCTACGAGTGCACGTGACACGTTCGGCTGCTTTGCAGGTTTCAGCGCCCCCGGAGGCCGCCATGCCGTACGACAAGCAAGGCGGTGAATCGGGTCACAAGCCCGAAGCCATGACCAATGGCGGTGCGGTGACGCCTCAGATGACCATGTTGACGGCGTCGGAGCCCGTTCGCCAAATCTCACAGAAGCCAGTGGTCAAGCCTAACGTTCTAACGCATGTCATTGAAGGATACATCATTCAAGAGGGACCTGAGCCATTTCCAGTGAGAACTCTTGCATCATGTTTTTCCTTGCTTTTTTTTTTCATGCTGTACGTGTAACGATTGAGACCTAGTGTTCAGCCAAAGAGGGTGAGGTATGCGAGATGCACTACGGCATATTTGTAGAATTTTTAATCATCTTTAATATTAAAGAATGAAATGTGTACATTACTCATACTGTGTTGCATTACCTGCTTTGATTATTAAAGCCTACGAAACCATGTAAGCATTCAAGGTACAAGAAGAGAGCAGGGTGAGGAGTAAACAAATGGGTGTTAGGGACATTTTGCTCAATATACGAGAAGGAGAAATGGGCAGGGCATGTAGCGCGCAGGCAAGATAACCGGTAGCCATGAAGAGTGATGGGCTGGATTCCAAAAGAAGGTGAACGACTTACCAAGTGGAGGGCCGGGTTAATTCGTGAAACATACGGGAGACCTTTTCCTGTAGTGGGCGTAGTTGGGCTGGTCTCATAATGGTGATGACAAGGCTGTGTAGTTCAGTAGACTCGGTATTTGGAAATTTGTTAAACATACTTGTTGCTTAAATGGAACAACTGTCTCTGATATTATTGGTTTATTACCTGTATTCTACACCGCTTGTTCATTTCTTAGTAAGCGGAACTACTGGTGAATGGGACATATTTTTCCAGTACATTCAGGTTCCATAAAAGTTTACTGTACGGTAGTTGGGTAACTGGAATTTTGGCTGTCACACTAGGATGGTAAATTAAGCTTCGAATGCTTGGAACGTATTTACGATTATTTTCAGAGCTGCTTAGTCTGATGTGATGCTTGCTGAGTCTATGCAATATAATGATGCTGCTGTTGTATCTGAAATGTGCATGCTGGATCCAATGGCTGTTTTTAGATTGTGATTGGCCGCATTTTGAGAATGCTCCAGAAAATATTGAATTATATATGGCTACTACATTAGATTGCAGTCCCGATGCTTTGAAAAAAGCTAATTGACGTCTTACCAATTTTGTTTTTCTTCTGAAATGACTTGTGCGATTAGAGAGGTTTCTACATGCTCATGCGGGACATTTTTCACGCATAGGTCAGCCGCTCATCCCTTGTTGCCGAGACCGAATCACCCAAGCCTTCTGTCGAGACAAACGGCAAGGCAGGGAGTGACGAAATCCAACACATTGCTCAAGGTACGCCGCTTTGATTTTTTTTATGTGTTTGGATAATGTGAAACAGCAATTATCTCGCTCGTTAGTGCAAGCCACTGGTTGATTTGCTTTCAGCATAAATAAAGCTGACAACTCGGCCACTTAGAGAATAGGAGGTGTCATTGAACATGGAATTTCATTGAAGCAGGTGTTTCGAGTAGGGGTGTTGTCCCCTGGTTGATGCGTTGGCTCCTGTGGCATTCCTAGCTCAAGACATCCACACTCACACCTCGATATAATGAACCCGAATATAACAAATTATTGGTTATAACAAAGTACATGAAGTATAGGTATGGTGCTGCAAATATATGTTTATAACGAATTTTCGAATATAACACATTTTCACTGCAGAGGTTTGAGTGTATATGGAATTTCCTAATTGATCTATGCTTTTTTTGCATTTATTACTCTCAAGGCAGTGCATAGCAAGGCTTATTTCATTGTAGCATAGCAGCTCGTTGTTGCATGTGGACTTCGAGGAGGCTGTCCAGGGATTGAGCATATAACGTTTCGGCACCAAGGGAAAACTGGGAGTCCCTCGCTATCTATCTGTCCGACATTTTCCTGGCAACTTTCTTTTCTAGCTGAACACGGTACTGCCGCCACGCACTGCTTGTCATCTTTTGGTATCGGAAGTAGGATTCTTTTTTCTTTTTGAAGTGACCACTTCGGTGTTTGAAGTGACCACTTTCGGTGACATGCATTCATTGTCTCATCTTCAAAGTCTCAGTAAGCCACCTTTTCAGCCTGAACATGCACGTATCAACTCCCCAAAAGGTGGAAGGTTCGTGAAAAACACTTGTGACCTTGAAGTGACCTAACAGGGAAAGCATCAGCCCAGAGCCAACAGAAGCGAATCTTGGTGTCATGGCATTGGTTCAAGCAAGGGGTTTTCTTGTACATTCATTGTTGATCATAGCCATCTGATGCATCAAGGGAAACTGACGGGAAAAGTGCCTCATTCATTACATCTGTGCCCGTGCATGAAAGAAAAAAAACAACTTTCAATTCCAATGTTGGTTCTTACGAATTCGTTCAGCCAAGTTAGTTTTGTGCTTTGAGTTACCGTCTTCTGAGAGCAGTTGCATTGCGCATCCCCGAAAGTGGTCATTTATGCAGTACAGGGCCTTCGGTTCTCACTTCTTCTGTGCCTCGCAAACTGCTTGAACAGTGAAACCTCGTTAAACTGTACCCGCGTAAACAGTAGTTTCGTTTTAAATGTAGTGAAGTCGAATCCACGACTCTGCGCTCATTGAACATAATGCATTTTGTATCCGCATAAGCCGTACCAGCTTATCGCGTATGTATCGATTAATAAGTAGTTTTTACAATTTTCGTTGCGCACTCGCCGTGGCATGTCGTCCCCCACTGGGCGTCCCGACAGAACAGCAAGCCCCAGAGATCGAAACACGCCTCGCTTGTTTGTGTTGATGATGATGGTGGCTGTGTTGGTGAGCGCCATCTCTTGGATTTTTTTGCAACAAAAAGCACTCAGCCGGCTAGGCTTTTGGTGTTGTCCATGCGATGGCACTTTGCACAAACACGCAAACACGGTGTGCGTTTGCTTTGCTTTCTTTGTTCCTTTGGCACCGTGCATAGGTGTTCTCTGGTTGATCCGTGCCGTACAGCTCTCGCGTCGTTTTTCACGTGTTGTGTATGTGCGCTTGTGCTGCTTCGTACTTGCGTCATGCCAAAGCTGAGATAAAAGCATCGAGTGCTGAAAATAGAGGAGAAATTTGACATAATTCGTGCTATTGAAAGTGGCACAAAAAAAAACGGCACTGGCACGCAAAGAGGACCTGCCGTTAACCACGGTGTGTGGAATTTGAAATTTCAGAGAGAAGTTGCTCCGCAGTGCTGCTGCAACTGCGAAAAGGTGCCGGCTACGCGGTTCGGCATTTTCGGATGTAGAGGAGGCGCTGGTGAAGTGGCTAAAAGCTGCACGGTCAAAAAATCTGCCTATCAGCGGACCCCTGCTCGTGGAGAAGGCCCTGGTTTTTGCCTCGCAGCTCAACCATGATAACTTCGTGTGCAGCAATGGCTGGCCGGCCAGATTTAAGGTGAGGCATGGCATTAGCACGAGGACTGTTTCGGGAGAAGGTGCTGCTTCTGACGTGGATGGCGTGGAGCAGTTGCAAAATGGTCAGCTGAAGAACATCTAGGAAGACTACGCACCTGATGACATCTTTAATATGAATGAATCGGCGCTATTCTTTAAGCTGCTACCAGACAAAACGCTCGCGTTCAAAGGCGAGACGTGCACCGGCAGCAAACATGCAAAAGACAGAATATCAGCGGCGTTTTGCGTAAACATGACTGGAACCGACAAAACTCCGCTCCTCGTGATTGGAAAGTCGGCGAAGCCTAGATGTTTCAAAGGCGCCCGGTTGCCATCAGGGGTCATCTATCGCAGCAACACCAAAACATGGATGACGTTAAAACTTTTTGAGGAGTACGTGTGCCTCATCGATCGTCGTTTTGCGGCTAAGAACAGAAGAGTTATTATTTTAGACAACGCTTCGGTGCACGTCACCTTGGACAACCTGACGGCTGTGAAGTTGGCGTTTCTGCCACTAAACACAACAGCGATTGCCCAGCCCTTGGACCAAGGCATCATTTGAGCTGTAAAACAGCTCTACAAGAAGAATCTGCTCCGCAGATTTCTTCTCGCCATTGAATGTGGCAAATTATTCTCCATCGACCTGATTGGCGCGATTCACCTGCTCGAATACTCGTGGCGGCAGGTTGAAGCAATGACAGTTCAAAATTGCTTCAAGCGTGCTGGCTTCAGTGTGTGTGCAGGCGACGCAGATGACGCCAGTGACACCATCGACCATACTTCGGACATCGTAGACGAAGCTTGCAAAACTCTGCTAGCTGAAGTGCTGGAGTGGCAGGGCGTTACGGAAGGCATTTCCTTTTCCGACTTCAGAGACGCAGACAGCGATGTGCAGACATCTGCGGACATGTCTGACGAAGCCATTGTTGCCTCGGTTGTCGAAGTGTCGCCAAATGATAGAGATGAGGACGACATGGAAAGCGACAACACGGGTGATTCAGGTCCGACAGTGGCCGAAGCTGCGCATTGCGTCAGCGTCATGCGGGTATTTGCCGAGAAGAGGGGGCTGGCGGAAAATTTGGCTCACAGCATAAGTGAGTTTGAGGCCGCTGTCGTTGCTGCTAGGCCGCCGCGTCGTCAAATGAAGAGAACAGACTTTGTCATGCGAAGTTAATAAGTTACTGCACGTTTTTTGTTCTTTCATCGCACTCCCTGAAGGTTTCTTTTTTTGACAGGTAAGTGAGCGACCTGACGCTATTTCGGTTAAGCAGTACTACCGTTTAGTACGTACTTTTTCAGAGCTCCGGCCAACTACGATTTAACGAGGTTTCACTGTACTTACTGTAGCCTTTGGCACCTCACTGCTTCTTCTTTCCTGTCACATGCTTTGCTTGCTTGCTCACATGCATGCTCTCTCTCTCCTCCTCTCCCTCTTCCCCTCCCTCTCCTGTGGTCCCTGCAGTTCCGCCTTCGGAGGCCGAGCCTCTCCCTTCGAAGGTTGCGGCCTCTGGGTCGGACCGGGTGGAATTGGCCAAGTGCGAGATGTGTGGCAAGCTAGGCACAAAGTCAAAGTTCAAAAAGTCCAAGCGCTTTTGCTCGTCGTCGTGCGTCAAGCGCTATAACTTGGCATGCTCTGAGCGGCTGGGCATATTCGCGTTCACCTCGGAGCCTGAGAATGAGGACGAGCTCCCAGGTGAGGCCATCTCACCATCTCCCGTAGCTGCGCACTGCTCTCGTGTGGCTTCAAAAGGCAGACTGCTAGACGATACTAACACTTTCTTACTTTGGTTGCGTCATGAAATGAGAAGAATTGTCATCCAATTATCTTGTAATGTAGCATGAAGCTTTGAAGAAATCTGTTTGTATTTCTTGTAAAGAAAGCATCCTGGTTGACACAAACTTTGTACCTGGTCTTGGGATACCTTCTTTCTGAGAAATTAATTTCCTTGTAGCATCATGCTGCAGACACATTGATAACTTATTTCTTTCGTGAACCTCTCCCCTCCAGTCCGTAATTCTGCAGAACCAATTTGCTTAATTCAGTGGTCATATAATGTGGGCTGCTGATTCAGTGGAGCATCTTTGAAGCTAGCTAGTGAGGAAGGTAAAGAAAAACAAGTAGGCGAGCCTAAAGAACTTTTATTTATATATATCTTGACAAGCATTTCGATGTCCATGGTGACACCAGAAGTTGTCAGCGACACTGCAGTACTTTACAACAAAAACCATACCCACAATTTTCTATGATGTTCAGAGGTAGAACAGCCTCATTTAAAGATACTACGCTTCCAATACAAGTGAACGTGTCATGAAAGGCTTGCAAAAGCAGATGTATTTGATTCCAGAAACTTCAGCAGTGAAAAAGGTCACCGTTACTGCTTGCCTTCTTCATAATGATTGAACTTATCTCACTTCAAATCGAGGTTCATGCAGACTAATTTGCATACACATTTGATTAGTCTGTTAACAAGCTCCTTGTGATAGTGAACATTGCTTCGCTGGGAAAGTAAACTGAAATGCCATTGTGGTCCTCGTTAATATGATGATGTTATCATTATATTTGAATATATCTTTTCCAGAGGATAGTATCTTTTGTGTGTAGTAGACGCAATTCATATATCGATTTTTTAAATCGTAAGTTTTACTCTAATGCAGGCAAGGTAACTAAGAAGAAGAAAATGGGACGGAAGAGCTGGCGAAAACCTCAAGGAAATCACTTCAACGAGTACTCTCCCGAAAAATGGGTAAGATATACTGATCTCATCGATGCCCTCATCTCATCGAAGTGGCTTTGTGGTGCGAATTCAGGGGTGCCAAGTGGGAATACCTAGCTGCCATGTTAACTCAGCAGCCGAGGTGCCACAATGCTAAACTGTAGGAAAGGTATTTGATCCCAGGCGTGGTGGTTTTTCTCTCCTCTGCATGGAACTCATGCTGGTGCTGCTTGACATTTACTGGGTTCACTTCCTAAAATGTTGATCATGAAACTTTAAACAAAGCATGCTTTTGGACTTAATGGATTCAGCAAGAATCCAAACTTTAATAGATTCAGCAAGAATCCAAACTGTGCAAAGAAGGCGGGACGTAAATAGGAAAATGTGCGCTTTGCTTCGTCTACGCCTGTTTTCGTCTTGACTTCTTTACCCACATTTAAAGTTTTACTGAAACAATTACCTCGTTTACAAAGCATAGTGCTTGTTTGCGTTTCTTCTTGTGTTCATCTACGAAAAAGTTTCTTCACTGAACACAATCAAATATGCCATATCAACAAGACCAGAAGTTCACGATTGATTTACTACCCCCACTTTTCTGCTTCTCAGCCACTGCAGCAGCAGCAGCAACAGCAGCAGCAACAGCAGCAGCAACAGCAGCAGCAACAGCAGCAGCAACAGCAGCAGCAACAGCAGCAGTTGCCGCAGCCAAAAGAGGGTGCACCCCAATCACAGTCACAGCCGCAGCCACAACCACAGCAACTGCAGCAGCCTCAGCCAGAGCAACAGCAGCAGGCTCAAAACAAAGACGTCAACATGGACACCGTTGAGCCAGCTAAAGAAGATGCCAGCACACCCATGGAGACAGCTGCCAATGCCTCTGCACCTGATCAGCAGTTGCTGAGGCCCGAGAGCTCGGTGGAGTCGCCCGCACCGGCTCCACCTATAGAAATGGAAGTCGATGTGCCCGAGCCAACACCCGCCCTGCCGGTCAAGAATCCAAGGAGTTGGACGGTGAGCTTTAGTGGGAGTTGCAGTGCTTTGTAGATTAGAAAGCTGGTGAAGTTCGAGTGATGGAGCCAGGAACAAAACTGAAATGGCAGTGTGAATGCTGCTGAGGGCGAGATGGCAGGTTTGGCATTGTGAGCGTAAATTATAGCACCTAATTTCGACGGTGTCACACTCGGCTATGTGGTGGGAACCTTGTTTACAATTTTCTATGTCGCAATTTTAGTGACGATAACACCATTGGTTGATGCCACCAGATGTGCTTATTCTGTACTATGTGTCCTGGCATTGGTGGAGTGCACATAAAGTTCAGCCCTCATTTCAGCAGCACTCATTTCACGCATGCTTACGCATTGTGCATGCTGCCTACAGAAGCAGTCTGTAGTGACAGGTTTTGTTACTTGTCCGAGCTGCTGCTCTCCTTCGTTAGGCATTAACCTGCAATCACATTCTTTTCAAGTCGGAAGGCAAATGGTTTTGTGTGCCTACTTCACAAACAGTGTAGAAGTTTGGATGAAGCAAAAGAACAGAGACAGCCAGGAAAACTGCTGGTGTGCCTGTTTGTTGATTCAACACCTAAGAGGCCACAGAAAAGGGCTTTTATGTGAGGGACAGGTTATTGTGATAGCGTTATTATTGTCATTATCATCATCAGCAGCAGCAGCAGAAGCCTCACTACGCCCACTACAGGGCAAAGGCCTCTTCCATGTTCCACCAATCAACCCGGTCCTGTGCTTTCTTTTGCCACGTTATACCTGAAAACTTCCTAGTCTCTCATCTGTTCACGTAATTAAATGTGGTAAATGTCTTAAATCTATTGCTGCTTTGAAGTTGCTGATACTGGAGTAGTGCACTATACAGTGGAACCTCGATTTTATGTTTCTCAGCTTTGCGACGACCCGCATTTTGCGACGAAACAGTTCAGTGCCGCTGAAACCCCCATAGAAATAATCCATTGAGAACCCTAGTGAAAAAAAATAACCTTTTTTGCTTGTATCTAACTCTGACCAAATGTTCAATGCCAAAATAAAAACTTACGTGCCCTGCCCCTAGGTTGACAGTCGAAAAAAGTAGAGTGGTTGCAACGGTACAGATAGGAAGATTTATTCTCTTGTGCTTCTGTGATTCAGTTTTCCTAGCTGTAAGGTAACTTCTGGATATGTCTCAAATATGTGCCTATCCAACGCTGTTGCATAGACAAGGGAAGTAGCGTAAGGTAGTCAGAAAGCTTGTCATTGGGATCCTGATATTTTCATGTTTCTGACCTGTGGAAACTTTTCCTGGTTGAGAGGCGGCTGAGGCTTTCCCTTCGTCTGCAGCACTCGCAGTGACGGGCCTTGAGGGTGCATAAAGGGTGCAATGACTCTGTCTTCACCGCACAAAATAACTTTTCCCTAATATGAGCGTTGGCACATCAACAGTTGCACTTCACAAGGGAACAAATACAATGTGGTGCGCACAGCTCAGTTGCGCATGAAACCATCCTGTGCAAACTCCTAACAAAACGGGCTGGCGATGACACTGTATCTGACTTTTGTCACTGGAGGCTGTCACCAATGTGGCTTCAGTTTCGTTTTCATGCATGTACGGCTTTTGAATTCCGTTTAGCATTGGGTAAAAAATGTGCATTAGATTCGATCTTTTTAAGGTTGAGGGCGAAAATTCGCTCACACTACTTTCACCTGAATGCTTAGCTGCAATTTTCATAAATAATATAATTTACCTTTTTTTAGGAAAAGCACAGGGGTCGTGCCAAGGGCTTATTTAAGTGGCCTGTACCTGTTCTTTGGGTGAGCCTGAGTTCCAATGCCAATATTGTGACTTTTTCATTATACAACACCCTGATTATGCAATGATTTTTCGTCGTCCCCTCAGAGTCATATAATTGGGGTCTCATCGTAAAGGGAGAAAGGACATTCTGATCTTACAATGGCTTGACAATCCCTATTAGCTTGAGATATTGGCCCTTTGAGTTCCGGGCATTCCTACCAGCTATGTTGTGGAAGTTTTTTCAAAGTGCAAATATATCCAATTTTTACATTCAGCTTTTGTTTGAAACTTATCGAAGTTTCTTATCTTTACTTTCAGGTACAAGAGGTGGCGGACTACATTCAAGACCTTCCAGGCTGCACAGACTATGCCGAGGAATTCCGCTCCCAGGAAATCGATGGTCAGGCGTTGCTTCTGCTTAAGGAGGATCACTTGATGACAGCCATGAACATCAAGCTTGGCCCAGCACTCAAGATATGTGCCAAGATCAATGCCTTGCGAGAGGATCAGTAGTGAAAAAACACTCGAAAAGCCTCTCACGCCGTCTGTGTTCGGACTTCATCCCATCTTTTTATTTTTTTTCATCTCGTGCTCAAAACAAGCTCTCAGAAAGCCAAAACTGTGCTGCATATAGTCACCCCAGTATGAGTGAGCGTACGTCATAGTGTAGTCAGCTATGTGTGTGCGATCATTGTGGTGCATGCGTCTGTGTATACAGGTTCATATAACGAAAAAATTTAGCGGACCCCAGACGTGACCCTGTGAGCGTGGTGTGACCGAACTTAAGACACGACGATTTTCTGAATATGTTGCTTGCGCTTCAAAGACTTTGATGCGAGAAGTGCCGAAGGAAAAGTTCGTCATTCCTTCGCGTTTTTTCATCAACGGAACTTTTTCTTGTCAAGCTGTGTGTCGTATCCTGGGACACTGTTCTATGACACTGCTGTGCGGATTCATGCTGATTTTGTCAGAGAAGCAACCGTGATTGAGGTGCGTTGAGCTTCCTCATCCTTCAAAGCTGGTTTAAGCGTGTCGCCCTTGGATTGATATCACCCTGACAACTCGCCTGGCAAGGAGCTTGTTTTTAATGGAACTCAACTTGAAGCTACACGCGACCATCTGACTTTTGTAGATAAATATCTTCGTAAAGATGTTGATAAAATGTGCAGTGCGACAAGCCAGGACGCTGTGCGAACCACCAGCATTTGCCTAGTGCTTACGGTGTGTAAAGACATAGTGTGTGAGCTGTACTACCCCATTTTTTACAGCATCTATCTGCCTCTAGTGTTGTGTGTGAACTTTTGGTGACATTTCCTGACACCCTGCAGAGTTCCTGCAGTGCACAGCTGCAACGTGGGTGAATGTTTGTTTCCGTCTAATTTATTGTTGGCCCGCGGTAAAGACTATTGTACATCCTGTTTGAGAGTTGAGAGGTAGACCCTATTCATTTTGCGTGACATTGTGTGAAAGTGGTGAGGAAATGTTAATTATTGAGCTCACTGCATGGCATTGTGGCCAGAGCATACTGTAAATCTCATTTTAGCCAAAAGAGTTGACATGCCTAGCAGTGGGCATCTCATGTACAAAGTCTATAGTGTCTGTTGCTTGAAGGTCTTTCTGTCAGTTTTTTTTTAGTGTTGTGTGCAAGTTTGTGCATCTGCTTGAGTGTAAGAGGACAAATTTAGTTAAGTGATATTCGTTAGATATGGATCTGCATATTTTTCTGCAGAACTGATCAGGCGACATCGCTATTCTATAATGCCTCTAAGTAAATGGAAGTATGCACGCTGAAGTTGCGGTTGTTGATTACACATGCTTTATTTGTAAGTATCTTTTATGTGGGAAAGCAGAATGAATTTCTTTGTATGTCCCTCCTGTTTTTGTTCCTGCAGCTTCCTATATGAAGCTGCATTGCTGAGATTCATACTTATAAAATCAAATATTTCATATTTATTTGTCATGCTCGAAGAATCGCTGTGTAATTATACTTAAAGTACTTTCCCAGATGTTAATAAAATGATGTATCCTCTCCTATGGAAGCCTTTAGCAAAGTTATACGGCGGCACACTCACCCCTGCTGATGGAGCAGAGTACACTATCACACTGAGGAGATATGAAGTACTAGGCTTAAGGAGAATTCCGACCAACCCATTTTGGGCCTCAGCCGAATATACACGAGCCACAGTAAGCAATAGATTATAGAATGACTTTATGGTATCGAACTCTGTATCGTATGGTATGCAAATGTGATGGCACCATTGTGTTGTATAGTACAGCATAGTTTTTGCTGTGTGTAAATTTGAATTTTTATACTTTGCAAAATTGGCAGTGCTTCTAAGTTTTTTGCTTTTTACATAAGCCTCACACTTCCTTTGTGTGGGCATCATTTTGAAGTTTTCTGAATCGTCTAACCCGCATGCCCAAGTCGAGCCGTCCTAAATAACACTGTACTAGTTTGAAGAAGTAGAAATTTAAGGGTTCATATTTTTCCTTTGTTAGGCAAAATATTAATTTGAACTAACAGACAGTGATGTCAAGGAATGACAAATGATGCCTTGGCATCATTGTCTGTTCTCATTAATACTGTACTAATTGAAATTTCTCAAGCACCATTTGTTGTGGCTGTCAATATAGCTCTTTTCATAGTGAGACATGAGAAATTGATTTGCTGCTAACTGCTACAAGCGAAATACTATGTCTTAAACAAAAACAAAACAAAAAACACACATACTCCTTGCCTCTAATGACACTAGTGAACAGGGAGTGGTGTCTTTTGATTAAGTTTCGCAAGAAGTTGGACAATACGTATTACCAAACAGATCTTGTTTAACTGTGTGCGATTCTCTCTGTGCTAAAAGTTTACAAATGCTTTTTGTCGTCTAAAATGCCACAACAATGAACCATGAGTGAGGTATTTCCTCATGGTGCTTTCGAACCTTGTGCGCGCCGGATTTAAATCGCGCATGCGTTTACTGGTTGACCACCGCTGTTTACACACAACACCCTTTACCATGCGCTTGCCTTTCGGTTCCACTGCCCCATGCTCACCTCTAGTCGCCCCTGCCTCGTCTGCATGCGCTCAGCTTCACCCTTTGGTGCTCTCGGCTGAATCATTTCTGTGAAGCACGCGCGTGATGTAAGCGGGGCGTGATAGTACTTTATTGTACTCTGCATTTTATATGAAATATAGCGGCAACAGCGAATTCTCGCTTGGAACATTTCTGTAACTACTATCTCAATAAAATAGGCCGATCTTTTTAACCACGAAACAACATGCTAATCTTTAAATTGGATAAGGTGCGCACCCACCCCAGAAGGGGAAAAAAAAAAAAAAACATACACAATCGCCTGTGTTGTTTGCATTTTTGTTCTCCCTTCTACTGTCCATGAATCAATGCAAATTATAGCCCAATTGGCTGTGCTACTGCAATCGAAATGGTGACTGGGCACTGCTACGTGCATCCTTCTTCTAGTGCGCTTCGTGAACTTCATCGCCGCAACACCCAAATGTACGGGTCTTCTTTAATTGTTATCTTGCTTGAATTCTTCACAGATGAAAATACTCTAGAAGGGGTCATGGCATCAAAAGCTGTTATCTTAAATAGTGCACTAGATATAAAACAATGAACTCTAGGAGCAAAAAAAAAAAAAAAACACGTTCTTGGGGCGCCTTTTTGCCACGTAGAACAATCGTAACCTCGAGTGCTGTCCTTGCGTTATCGCCACATGACTTCCCGGGTCACGAACAGCGTGTGGTTATCAGCGTGACATATCATTCTTGATAAGAGCGCAGTGACGGCAATGTTTTCAAGAATGGAAACGCAAGGAAATCGGGTTAAAATGATGGAAGGACAGAAAGAAGCCTCGAACATTCCCGTTTCGCCTTGGAGTGTGGCGGCACATGTTCGCATGCCCTCTTATCGTGCTTCTGAAACGACGCCTCGGAAGACACTCGGCACGTTATCGAAACCAGAACCATACGCCCTAGTCATGCTCTGGTCAAGCCAAGTCATTAGAAGGCGTTGGCCAAGTCAACGGATAACCGCGAACCCAAATGACTCAGACGACAGCAGTTTAGCCGCGAAAAAGTACACGGTACTTGTAGTTCGCTGTCGCGAAAGTGCGTATGTCTGCGCCTTGTAAGTATGACGTCGGCGACGTTCTGCTTTAGGATTCCTAAGTGCGGAGCGATCCTGTTCAAGCCGCTTCACAGCAAACGAAGTCACCCGAGCGACACCGCGTCCGTGTCTCGATGCACAAACAACGGATGCAGCGCAAGCTACTTCGAGATGCCTTTGACGAGCGCGAAAGACGGCGGGATTCGCCCGGGTGCGGTGTTTGGAGACTGGACTAGTTGTTCCGTGTGTTGAAGTGATGTAGAGTAGCCCGAGAAACGTGGAAAACGAGGACGAAAGGACACTTCACTGTCGGCTGAATCTCAAGTGGGTATGCGGGTACGTGTGAGCACCGCCGGCACCTCGGACCGAAAGTAAGCCTAGTTCGATACGTTACTAGGTCGGTTTTGATATAGTTATACATTCGGCGCAGCTTCTTTCTTATTCTGAGGTAGGCTAACCTACCTCAGTGCAATAATAACCTCAGAGCTTTCACAATAGGCACTAGGTTAGCAGAAAAAGCAGAAATACGCAAGGAAAGGACGAGTGGCGGCCCCCTCGTCATATGTATCTTAATGTGACACAGCACAGCACCAAAAATGAAAATGTTTCGGGATGCATGAGAACGTGCTTTCACACTACTTCATTGTTTGCTTCGGCTGAAATAAGACAGGCAAAGGGTAGTGGGCGCACATTACGTGCTCGATTCCATTTCATGAAGCAACCGCTATCGACTTCAATATGTAGTACGCTGCCTCACTGATGTGCTTCTGTGTGACAGAGGCTATGTAAGCTGAATACGAACACACGGGCCTACAGCATTTCCGCCTCCGTCGAAAATGAAGTCGCCGCAGCCGGGATTCGATCTCGCGACCTGCGGGTGAGCAGCCGAGTACCTTAACCACTAGGCCACAGTGACGGGGCAAGCGCGTGAGATAGATGGTGCACAAGCACTCGATCTTTTCCTAAAGGGGCCCTGCAATACTTTTTGAGCATGGCTGCAGTGTACTTACTGGAAGGGCACTCTGGCATGGCCAGAAAACGCTGCCGATTGGTAGTAGAGATGCTCCCGACAATACGCGAGCCAAACATTGCAGCGCAGCACGCGGCCTTGAATTCACAATAAATTATCAAAGTCAGCTGAAAATTGTTTTCTCTTCTCTTCTCTCGACAAATGGCGGAACACGCTCCGAAATCACATGTAGAGAGCCCGTCTATAAGTCATTGGCTGATTTGAACATGGCGCGCTCGGTCGTTATAGAGATCGCCGCGGGAGGCCGCGACTCGTCCACCCGTGCGCGCGCGATCACACTGAGGAAGCCGCGCATTCGAAAAAAAAAAAAAAAAGTGCTAAAGATTGCAAGAGCGGGCGACGTTTTTGTTTTCCCTGCCATCCTTTTCTGCTTAGCTTGCAGCGCTTTCGTTGGGACGAGAGGAGAGGTAATTGCAGCATGCGACAAATCTTTGTAACTACACTCGCACTCGACGTATTCTTGAAATTTTTCGCCGTTTAATTCGTGAGGCAATAAGCTCTTTCAGAGAGTTCATTCCACGGTTACTTGAAGAAGTGTTTCAGGGCCCCTTTGAGGAACTTCGAGACGTAAAGATTGGTATGTTCTACTCCCGTCATTTACCAACATCCAACGTGCGTTTGTAATGACAAAAAACAAAAGAAAATACAACTTAAGGAGTTTGAAACGTTAAAAAGGTGCTGTATCGAGTATCACGGTACCTACGGGACGGTGTGCCGTGCAGCGAACACGCAACATGCACTCGGGTCCGCAGGGATAACAAGACGCGTGTTTGGGCAAGTTATTCGTAGCTGATACGACACAAACGAGCGCTATGAAACCAGAACACGCAAGCAAAACTTAAAAAAAAAAAAAAAGAATTCTGAAGGGTTGTAAACAATATTCCGCTGGCTACGCCCATGTCCGTTTCACAGCGCTCGTTTGTTTCGCAGTCTGTGCGCAGGAATGAATTACTCGAATAATCAATGACAGCTGCTACGGTCAGCGCAACCCAGTTGTCTACTGCCAGTGTATATTGCTCCAGCGCAAATCTTCGGTGCAGTTGCGAGAAATTGAATGCTCCGCACGTGAAAATTCCTCGTGGGATCGTGATGTTTGTCATACCGCATCAAAATGTGCCGTCTGACGAATCCAGGAGTTACTCTTCATGTCTAAAGAAGTTGGTTGTCATGAGCGGTCGCACAACTTTGCGCACATGTTCATAGTTTCGGAATAATTCGGGGCAGTCGTTGCCGCTGGTGGTAAGGGGTTTAGAGGCAACGGCTTCAGTTTGAAAAGTTAGGTTGAGGTAAGGACTGAGAGCCTTTCCTTGTGTGCTTGCGTGTTTAAACCCATGCCGCTGCCTGTTCTACCGTGACCACCTATGAAAATTTGGACAAGCATGTGCATTCAAACGCGCTGGCGGTTACGCATCTTGACGAGAATGTATTCTATTTCGTACATGAAGGCCTTTTAATTTTCTCGGCAGACGTGTATAAATCTTCAAAAGCCATGTTTTTCTATCCGCCTTTCTCAAGTCAAGCGGTGCTGTAGTTCGCTGTTTTTTAACCATCGGTTAGTTTGTTCGTGAGGTGTCGTTGTCTCGCATACGACGCATTTCTCCTCGCGCGTTCCCGAGAGCCATCGTGGTGCCGTATAAGAAAAAAATGATATGTTACCACTGAAATACGAAAGGAAGCGAGTTCAGTATGCACTGCGCGCCGTAATCTCTAGCGCGGAAGAAAAAGCTGCCGCCGCCGTTGACTTCCCGTAAACACGCGTTGCACGCCCGGCCGAAGGGGACGAATTTATGTTCCCGCGATGGGTTCTCCGGACGCGACTGACGTTTTCGGGTCAACGCACTAAATCCTGGCTCCGTTCCGTATGGCAGGCACGAGGGGGGCGGATC